AAATTCTAAACAAAAAGGAACATTTTTAATCATTGAAAGGTCCTGTGAGTTTTGAGGATGATTCCTTTCATTGTAATCATTTACAGAATGGGTATATTTTTACTTGAAGTAGAGATAAAATATATTTTAGTCTACTACAATATTTTCTTTTTGGAAAATATATCAATTTTTATTTTGTTGTTGTATTTAAGACCTTCTGAGAGATTGCTACTTGTATCTAGCAAAGGCATCTTTTCCTTTTTACTAAACAAAATACACTTACATCCTCTTAGGAAAATGATACTCATTGCATTTATAACCTTAAAAGCAAATAATTTTCTTTTTTTTTTTTTTTTTAAATTTTATTTTATTTTACTTGAGAACATACTGTACAGAGGGGTTACAATTACATGGGCAGGATAATGCATACATTTCTTACCAAGCATTGCAGCCTCCTCCTTTGTTTACCCTTCACCTCCCTTCCCAGCCTCCCCCCTCCCTCCCACCCAATCATACCCCCCTCCCGACATTGTAAAGCTGGTTTTGACATGACATTTTGTACTTCTCCTTGTTGCAACAGGTCCACCTGAATCCTTAAACGACTTGTTTGTCCCCATCTCCTCCACATGTTATACAGACATCAAATATAGTGAAAGCGGGGTTACACTGTGGGGGAGGGACATACAAAGCAACCAAGAAATAATCTTATAAATGCGTTAGAAACACATGCATGAAAGAAACAAAAACATTAAAATACATATTTGAGGTTTCGTTTTCCTAACATCACATTATCTGACTTTTTCCACTTGATTCATACCTATACTAGATATTGCAAATAAGGGAAACCATGGGACCTATGTTTCTTTGGGCCTGGCTTACTTCACTTAATATAATTTTTTCCAAGCCTTTCCATTTCCTAACAAATGGGGAAATGTCATTCTTTCTGATGGAGGCATAGAATTCCATTGTGTATATATACCACATCTTCTTGATCCATTCATCTACTGAGGGGCATCTGGGTTGGTTCCATGTCTTAGCTATGGTAAATAATGCTGCAATAAACATAGTTGTGCTGGTAGCTTTAGTGTGGCCTTGTTTGTGATCATTTGGGTAAATGCCCAAAAGTGGGATTGCTGGGTCATTGGGGAGCTCTATGTGGAGTCTTTTGAGGAACCTCCATACTGAAAAGCAAATAATTTTCTTATATGCAACACAATTCTTTATAATTTGTTGGTTACATTTTGAGGGGTTTTTTTTAGGTTTAACATTCCTTTAAACATTTAGTAACTTACTGTCAAACTTTTTAAGTGACTTTTAATGTTTGAGTATCAAAGTTTAAATGAATCTCTCTAGGTATAAAGAGAATTGCAATTTTATGAGAAGTCTGGAACTAATGGAATTGAATTATTTAAGTTATTAATTAGTTGGCTTTCTTAATATGATCTTTGACCGAAGGAGCATAGATTTGCCACAAGCGACTTCTCCTTAAAACATTCCAAAAGAAAAATATGTCCATAGAAAAAAAAACAGAAATGTACCCTTTTGGAGTTTGAGCCCCAAAGCCATTGTAGAACTTTAGTGAGTTGAGCAGGTTCCTGCAGAGAATTTTATTACACAAATGAGGTTCCTCCCTTTCCCCCCCCAGCTTTGAAGTTCAATGTAAGATTGAAAATTTGTTCAAAGTATAAAAGAGTAATAGTCACTTCCTTAAGTGTCATGAGCAGTTATCTTTTTTATTTTTTTAAAATTTTTATTTATTTTTTATTGTGAAAATACTGTACAGAGGGGTTACAATTACATGGGCAAGATAACGAGTACATTTCTTATCAAGCATTGTAGCCTCCTCCTCTGTTTCCCCTTCCCATCCCTTCTCATCCTTCCCCCACCCCCCACCCAATCCTCTCAGCTCCCCCCACCAAAGTTGTAAAGTTCATTTTCGACATAACAACTTGTACTTCTCATTGTTGCAATGGGTCCACCTGTATCCTTACTTAAACGACTTGTTTTTCCCCTTCCCCTCCACAAATTATACCAACATCAAATACAGTGAAAGCAGGGGTTATTCTGTGAGGGAGGGACATACAAAGCAACAAAGAAATAATCTTATAAATGCGTTAGAAACAGTCGCATGAAAGAAAAAAAAAACATTTGAATACATATCTTAGGATTCATTTCCCTAGCATCACCTTATCTGACCTTTTCTGCTTGACTCATACATATACTAGATATTGGAAATAAGGGAAACCATGGGACCTATAAATGTGATATATATATACACAATGGAATTCTATGCCTCCATCAGAAAGAATGACATTGCCCCATTTGTTAGGAAATGGAAAGACTTGGAAAAAATTATATTAAATGAACAGTTATCTTAAACTGTTCACCCTAGGACTTTATCTATACCATAATGGCAAAGCAAAAATGCTAAGCCTACTTTTTTTCCCAAAAGTACTTGCTTGGACATACCTTATGAAGTACTTGCTCTACCTTTGGAATAAGATTTTCATGTGATTTACCAGGACATTAAAATTCAAGTAAATCATATGCTGAAATCATCTTGAAAGACAGGAAGAAATAATAAAATTAAAATAATAATAGCAGGGTGCTGGTGGCTTATACCTGTAATTCTAGCTACTCAGGAAGAGTAGCTAGGTTCAAAGCCAGCCCAGGCAGGAAAGCCCATGAGACTTATCTCCAATTAATCACCAGAAAACCGGAAGTGGTGTTGTAGCTTATGTGGTAGAGTGCTAGCCTTGAGCTGAAGAGCTCAGGGACAGGGCCCAGGCCCAGAGTTCAAGCCCCACAACTGAAAAAAGAAAAAGATAAAATAAAAATATGAGATACCCCAAACTCTCCCCTGCAAATATACCCTAGACAAGAACTGGAATTTGGGAAATAAATTCTTCAAAAGCTATTTGTGGAAAAGTTCAAAAGGCTGCAACTACTTAGAGGAGGGAGAGGTATTCCTTTTATTAATGTGAACATGTCATATGCATCAGAAATACTGAATTTTAACAATTTTTCAGTTCACTTCCTAGAGCAAGCTTCATTATATTGTGCATTCAGACAAGTAAAATCTAGTGGAAGAGAGTAAGATAGTCTATACTTTGTGGGGGGGAAGTTCATAATTTTTTTGTTTGTTTATATATTTGTTTATTTTGGTGCCAGTTCTTGGTCTGAGCTTCTTTTTGCTTAAACCTAGTGTTCTACCACTTAAGCTACAGCTCTATGTCCAAATTTATTGGGTAGTTTAGTGAAGATAATCGTCTCAGGAGGTCTTTTTGTTGCTGTTTTTGTTGTTTGTGAAATAATTGACTTATGTTATTTTTTTCTCTTCCTTTTCCTTTGGTTTATCCCCTGCTGTCACTGTTTTTGACTTAGGTACCCTATGTCTTGTATATACGTTATCTGATTTGGGGACGGGAAAGGGAATAACAAAATGTTGAGACAATGGACAAAGAGTGAACTAATGTAACATAGACACTATGTTGGAAATGAACTTTGCAATTTGGTGGGAAGAAGAGTCTAGAGTGAAGGAAAAGTGGGAGAAATTGAGACAGGGTACCAGTGTTCAAAAAGAAATGTACTCATCACCTTACTTATGTAACTGCAACTCCTCTGTATATCACATTTACTATAAAATTAAATTAAATATATATAGAGAGAGAGAGCCAGAGAGAAAGAGAGCCAGAGAGCCAGAGAGCAAGAGAGCGAGAGAGCGAGAGAGAGTGAGAGAGAGAGAGAGAGAGCAAGCGAAAGAGCGAAAGAGAGCACCTCAGGAATTTTGCTGCCCAGGCTGGTTTCAAACCACAATCCTCAGATGTCAACCTCCTGAGTAAGTTTGTAAGTTGTTTTTCTTTTTCTTTTCAAGTAATAATTTTTTAAAGTGTTTTTTTCTTGTAAAAATAGTGTACAGAGTGGTTACAGTTACAGGAGTAAGGTAATGAATATATTTCCTATTGAGCATGGTTACTTCCTCCCTTGTTTTTCCCCTACCATCCCTTCCCTCCCCACATAAGTATAAGCAGAAAATGTCAAAAGCTATGTACATATGACCATATAAGATGAGGTTAAGTGAAATGAACCCCAAGATAGGGACACAACTTATTTTTTATTTCTTGCTAATTTTTAAGTAATAGTTTTATTCAATATCTACTGATAAAATAGAAAACATGTAATGACAGAGTTTTCACCGGATTATAGATTCAAAATAAATAAGTTATATCTTCATGGTATCATACCTCCCTCTAATGAACCAACAAACCAACAATTGTACTTTTATCTGTGATCAATGTAAGAGGTGTAGGTTCAAAAATCAAGTTTTCTTCATTTGTAAAAGAATTCAACTAGTGGCAGAAATGAACTACAAACTCAAAAATAAATATTCTTTAAAGAATTTTTGGAGAGTGTTGCCAATATCTGATTTAAACTAAAAGTAGAAACAATTTACTGTATCTGATCTTGAGAAAAATGTAACTAAGCGTCAGGCTGTTTTAAGGATAGAAACTAATAATATTGTTAATGCAAATCAATAAATAGCTGAAAGTTTAAATATTTTAACCATGTAAACTGAAGAAGATAAGTCTTTAATGACAAGTGTTTAGTTCTAATTAAAGCGGAGAGAATAAAAGCATAACGTAGCCCTCTAGTAAAATTCATAACAATGCTCTTTTTCTTAAGCGGTAAATATAAATTGGTATGTAAATGAATATTTATGTATGCTGGGGTGCTTGATGAACCTACCAGAGTTTAAGACAGAGGTGAAGGTAAACACACTGTACTTGGTACACAAGCGTGCTTCGAAGAGGTTCATCTTTAGGTTAAAATACAAGAGGCAGTGTGGTGAGGAAGGAGAGAGAGGACACAGAGGAACTGATATTACAAAATCTCACTCACTGTATCCTACACTGACAGCACTGGCATCATGAAATGTACTACGCTTCAGAGCATGTAAAATGTCACTCCAAAGAATAACATAGAAGGCAAACTTTGAACTGGTCTTTCTTTTTCACTTTTAGGCTGAACAGGACAATGGGCACCCTCTCCCTGCCTTCGCTAGTCTACACATTGAGATACTGGATGAAAACAACCAGAGCCCGTACTTCACCATGCCCAGTTATCAGGGTTATATCCTAGAATCTGCTCCCGTGGGAGCAACCATTTGTGATAGTCTAAATTTAACCACTCCCCTAAGAATTGTAGCTCTGGATAAAGACATAGAAGACGTAAGTTCACATCTTGTCATATATAACTTTGTATATTTGTTTTTATTTTATTTTATTCTAAGGGTGATATCAGAAGGGTTAAATTTACATAAGTAAGGCAATGAGTACATTTCTGTTGAACATTGTTACCCCCTCCCTCGTTTCTCCCCACTTTTCTCCTTCCTCCACTCTCCTCCTGCCCAAGTTTTAAAGTTCATTTTCAACATAGTGTGTTGTGAGAATCGCTGTTGCATTGGTTCACACTTTGTCCTTTGTCTCACCGTGTTCATTTATATTAATAGCAAATCTTGCTAAGCATAATTATGTAAACTATAGAACAGAAAACAAAGTCACTATAATGAATCTTAATATCATGATTTAATTCTGTATCAGAGATATTTTAAAATGGGTGCTTTAGTCCACCTGCAGGTTCTCAGAATATGGAGGAAAATAAATGTTTCACTTGTTGCTGGTGAAATCACCAGCACAATCTCTTATATTAATATAAATTGAAAACAATTTTATATAATTGTGGATAGTGAAAAAAGTTACAAAGTGAATATAAAAACAGCCTAGAGTATGATTAGGGAGAATTTTTGTCCAGGATTATGGTCCTTTATTAAAAACATATATGTGGGGACAGCTAACATACCAGCTAACAAGACCAGGAGGTCTTGATATTGCCTCCTCTTTACTCCACAGGTTGCTGTCACTTGGTTTTGTGGTACTGACCCTACCTCCCAGAATGGAAAATTATTGAGAATAGGCAAAATAGAATGTTACTGCTGTGTTCAGAGTGATACTATATAAAGCTAGGATATCAAATCAATAAGACCAGAGTCTCCAGGAATTTATGGATGGGGTAGGTAGCAGGGATTGAAACTGGAATTCTATTTAGCTGGGCCTGATCAGCGTGAGCATGAAAGAAAATAATTTTCCTAAGTTATTAAAACAGAGGTGGCATAATTGCAATGTTTTGCAAACATTGTCAAGTAATTGCTTGTTTGGACCAATTTTTAATATGAGGAATGATTGTCGTTAAGTACCCAAAAAATTAAAAACATGTGATCATGTAGTCACACAATTTTCTAAACTAACAGATTTACTTTTTATATATTTATATAACCTTACAAAATATTAAGAATAGTTTAATTTGGCTTCCCACACACACTCTAAAACATCTAACCCATCCCTAGAATATTGATATAACTCTCCATTTATCCAGTTGGTCTTCTTCTACTCATTTCTTACTTAAATATATATTTCATTCAGCTACAAGAGCAAAATCTGATTATATTGGACAAAATTCCAATATAATTTTATAGCATCAATTTCTCTATGAAAGAAAACTTATTTTCATGTACTTATTCTGTTTCTTGCTACCTGAATATTTCTTCATCACCAATTTCAAATCCTTTATGCTTCAACTAATGCATTTATCAATTACTTGTACTTTTTCACATCTCCCAAAATATATCATATATAATTTTAGTAATTTTCCTTTGTTTTGAAATACTTCATCTTTTATATAAATCAGTGTAGATACTTATATTCAGTGACTAGTGATTTTATATGTTTCAATTGAGGCATTTATTTGTTCAAGAATCTCATTCAGAGTTTTCATTAAATTGATTGTTATTCCTTGATGCATTTATCTAAAGTGGTATTTTCAGCTTTATAAGGTGTATTTCTCCCTTCAGTAGTTTAATTCTCTTGAGACTAGGTCTGCTGTCTTAATAATGAGTGTATTTTGAATGTCTACCACAGTCATTAATACTTGATAGACTTTATTAATTCTTTAACATGCTGATAAATTCAGATATGATTGAAGGAATTATGGTATCTAATATATATTTCAGAAATTCTAATAATACTGAATTAATTCAACAATCCACTCACGGCATGTCCCATTTCATGGCTGGACAAATCTAATTCATAAAGAACTCTCTATTATATTGAGATGAAACAAGCCTACTTGCAACTTCAAAATTCTCTAGTCACTGGAACACAGATTAAATATATGAATTAGTCATCAGTGGGTTTGAAGGCAGATTTATACTTTTCCAAATTATTTTATTTTCTTACTAACCATTCTTTAGATTATGTAAATTATTTTACTGTTAATATTATTAAAAAACCTTCATTAACATCAAAGTTGTTTTAATTTAAAATAAGAGAATATGGTATAAAATTTCTTATGATAATTGAAATTAGTAAAGATAATTAGCTAAGGATGAACTGTTTATAAAGACAGAAACATGTCAGATAAGACATGTGTCTACCTGGAGTTTGAAAAAGAAAGCAAAAGAGAAAGAAAGAAAGAGGGAGCGGGAGGTGGGGGGAGGTCACTGTAGGAGATTGACTCTAGAGTTGTTTCAAGAATGACTATAAGACAGCCAAAGACAAGAAGAGGATAAATTGAACTTATTATTCAAAAATTGAATTGTTCTTTTCTCTCTCAATTTGGTGAAAATAAAGCACGGTTTTGATACGTAATGAAACATTGATTAATAAAGAAAAATTTTAAACTATTTCTTTTCTAAAGACACATAGATAACTACATGTAGAGATATGCATATATATGTATATATACAGATTTTTATATTTATATATTTAAAAGCATTCTTACTTAAAAACACATTACAGTTTAAAAATAAGGCCTATTTAGAAGTAGAGAATTTAGTGTACAAGATTTATAAGAATTATATCTGAGAATATCATATTTTGAGTGTAGAACCAGCAAAAGTTGACAATGGAGTTCTTGATATAAGAAATAAAGAAAGACAATAATCAAGAAAGATTACCCATCTGTTTTGAAAAAAAATAGTAAATCTTAGTTCCATATCAACCTGTTACCTTTGTATAAAGTATTATTGTAAATACAGGTGTTCTTGGAATCTAGTTTAATATACTCATTAAAACATTACGTATTTTAAATGGTAATCAGAAGTAAATATCATTGTTCTATCTTTGATAGGTCACAATGACATTTAAAAATTTATGCATTTTTAGAAAAGGTTGTAATTTAAATGTAACAAGAAATGTTGATCATTTTATTTTCTACAGGTATGTTTTCACATGTTCTGTAATTCTGGTCTCTTGTACTCACAGAGTGTGTTTAATGTCTAACTCACATTTAGGTTCCACCTGGTGGAGTTCCTGTAGGTACTATTTGTGCATTGTCTGGTTGTCAGTTGTTGTGCTTTATCCTCTTGTTCTTTTTTTCCTAATAAAATTTCATCACATATAAACATATCTAAAAATTCTTTATGAGAATGGGAACACATTTCTGTGTTCAAGTGAACACAGGAATTCCTGTTGGTTCAAATGAACCAACAATATTTGAATTTGAATATTGTATCATTATTTATGGATTCTTAATCTACAACAGATATGAGTAATTCATCATCTTTCTAAAAGATTTTAAATTTTAAACCAAATCCTTCAGCAAAATGCTGTTTAATTAAAATTGGCAGGTTAGATAAAATTTATTTTCACTTCTCGTTGTACTTTGTCATTTATGTACCTACATAGGTACATATGTTTGCATGTGTATATGCATATGTATAGTATGTTGATTGTGCACATATAGACATAAATATGTTCTATGTGTATGAAATAACACATTTGATTCTTATTAAATACCTCTCACAAACACAGTTCTATATGGTAAAATAATTTTATTTTACATTTATATACTGGTTTATCTTGATGTTAGTGTAATTGCTTTTGTTTTCATTTCCTCTGTATTTGTGAGTGCATGATAGAGTGAATTTTCCCTTCTGCAAAAAATATACAACCAATGAAATGGAGTAAAAAATCATAATTTTGCTTTATTCTGAACTAATATTTTAGATTAAATGAATATTCCCTTCTCTTACACAAGTAAATGATATTTACTAATCATTTTCTTGCATATATATTGAGCATACATATTACAACTTTCTTGTTCCATGTAAAAAGTTTCCAGTTGTGAGCTATTTTCCATTACGATTTTCTGCTGAATTTTTGACACTAAACTTAGAATAGTGTTCCCTCATTAATCACTTTTGCCATCATATCATGTATAAAAATTTTTATGTCAGAATCTGCAGATACCCACCTCCCTATATTATTCCGTATTCCTTCTTTTCAGTCTACCTGAGAGTCCACTCTCTTAACATTTTCATTTTTATTTGTCACACTTTTGTTTTCTTTCTCTTTTGCATGCACCCATCCAACCATTCAAATTTCTGTTATCTCTGAATTTCAGTAATTACATATCATTCATGGACGGTAATGAAACATGAAGCTTTTATAATACCAATATAATTTCTATTAGTCTTGAAATTTTAAAATATTTAACTCTAAGTGTATATTATTTCTTCTAAGCTCTTTTAATATTTATATATAATATCAAATCTGGTAATTTAATTAAAGATTACTCTTCTTTTTGGGGAACCTTACAATATTTAAATGAGAAAGAAAGCAAGCATGATATTTATAGGGAATGAACAAAATATACCAATGTTCCTTTGTTTTTACATTGGAAGAGCAAGATAGCATTATGCATATGAGTGTTTTTGTTTTTGTTTTTGTTTTTTACTGTAAATGAAGTTACTTTAACTCCCAGGTTGAAATTTGGAGCTCCAATTTTCTTATTTTGTTTCCATTTGCTATTTCTTGAATTGAAAATAAAGTTATGGAAAGTGTAATTAAGTATTCAGCAAGACTACATCCAATTGTGTTGGTTTCAATTCTACCTTTTTTTGTAATTTTCCCTTTTCACTGTGATTAATCCAGTACTTCTTTTAGTGTTTTTATACGCTACATTATAGGTCACCATCTTTTGGATATTTTCAATGACTTACAAGTAAACATCTACTTAATCTTTCTTTGTCTTTAGGAATTCGTTTTTCTCTTGGTCTCTTTCTCACTCACCCTTGGCAGTATCAGGTTATAAATTTAAGCACTTTCATTTGCTCAGCTTGTTGCTTCACTTCACCACTCTACCCTTGAACCATGACGTTTTTGCAGATTAATTGGAATTTGAGTTTCCTAGACTTTTGTACTAGAACTGGCTTCAAACATGAGTTCTCCAGGTCTCAGCCTTTGTGAGCCATCAGAGCCCTCAAAGAAATTCTTAATACTTTTCTATGTTCATTTGTATAATAAATTTCAAAGACTGCCTCATTTATTCAGCATTATAGATAATGGATTTTTTTTTCTTTAAAGACAAAAGACCCAGAGCTTCACCTTTTCCTGAATGATTACACGTCAGTGTTCACCGTCACGCAGACGGGCATTACCCGCTTCCTCACCCTGCTTCAACCAGTGGACAGAGAAGAACAACAGACTTACACCTTTTCGGTAAACACGATTATGGCTGTACATCTGTATCATTATAACTGATAAGAGATATCTGATAAAATGCCAATGTCAATGATTTGAGGAGAAAAAATTCAATGTGTCAGATAACACCACAGAAACTATTTTAAAAAATCTTCACATACCTCCCTCTTCTAGTTATACATCTGTGTAGAAATGTTAATATATATTTTCCCACAGAAGGAAACATTTCTTAATCTTTATCAACCATGAATGATAAATACACATTAACATACACCAAAAATATTTTTTTCTTTCACTCACCGTTGGAATCTTTCATTTCTATCACAGGGTTAGGCTAGTGTTTCTTAATGGTATATTTTTCCTGTAGAGAAAATTTGGCAATATTTGGATTTCACAGTTGTCACAACTGTGAAACAGTACATATATCTGATGTGTAGACAGAAAAGCACTGAAACTTGCCAAGTGAATAACAGTTCAAACAGCAAATAATGATCTGCCTAATAATGTCACTAGTATGGAGATTGAGAAATGCCAATTAGGCTTATCAGCATAGAAATAAGCATCAATTATTAAAGTCACTATTTAGCATATATATGTACACATATACACATATGGATTTATATGACTCAATCTATCAGTTTCTCTATATATGTATATATAGACTAGTATGCTTGGGCAAGTAGTACATACAGTTAAGAAGTAATTCAAGTACTTGAATAAAATATAAAAGAAAACTGAGCTCATAGACACAATTTAAGAAGTCATCTAGGCATATTTTCTGGAGAAGCTTATATAACAGTTAAGCAGAGTTTCACCAACATGACTGTTAAATTTCCATATGTAATTGATTCCAGAAGTCATAGAGACAAAGATGGATGTCTGGTGGTTGTAACACTCATCTTGTTTTAGGTACTTTTATATTACTAATAATGTGATGAAGATATCACTAATAGTGAATGTCAATGAGTCTTTCAAAAGTAAGCGTATTTTAACCATGTTGATGGTAAAAACACTATATTGCATTCAAATTTAGTAAACGTGAAAAGTATTTTTAATTAAGTTTTAAAAGTTAAATTATAGTGAGATCTTAAGAATTAGCCATGTTATTATTTGAAGTTTCAACAACATTTTATGTAATTTATATTTCCTCAGGTAAAATGTGCTGGGAGTTAAAGTGCATTAAAATAGAACAAAATCCTCAAATTACTTCCTAGCACATTAAAAAAAAACCAAACACCTTCAAATATATGTAGTAGTATTTTTACTTTTTCCTTTTATCCATGAATTAGCCCTGTGCCCTTTGAAACTGTTCATATAAAATAGTGTTAAGTTGTAGAGGTGGATTATGTACTGCTTATATTCAATGATTTCTCTAATTGTGTGTCTTTTTTTTCCTTTCACCAAAGATAACAGCATTTGATGGTGTACAAGAAAGTAAGCCAGTTGTGGTCAATATTCGAGTGATGGATGCAAATGATAACACACCAACCTTCCCTGAGATATCTTATAATGTCTACGTATACACAGACATGAGCCCTGGGGATAGTGTCATCCAGGTAATTGCACATGGATATGAAGGTACTCAAAGAAAAATAGTCTCCATAGATTAAAATCATACTGATAAAAGCTGGGGATATTATGACATTGGTAAGAGCTAGAGTGTTTGCATAGGAAACACAGAGAGAGAGAGAGAGAATTGTTAAGCTGAAAATTAATTATATAGTTTAGTTAATATTGAATATTTAAATTAAAAATTATGTTTCAAATAAGAGTATATATGTGCATGTGTTCAGACAACCAAATAGATGTTGGAGCTAAATAGTTATCAGATATAATAGCAACATATGCATTTATACTTGATTTAAAAATTAATGTAGTAAGCATATTTAATTTAATGAACATAATTTAAATATCAAAGTAATTTCAAATTATTATGGAAATAAAATAAAATAAATTTCTCTTGATGATAAATGCAACAGACTGCATTAATAAAATGACAGATAAAATACCTGGGTATTGGTCACCAGTAAAAGTGAAAAGTATTTTCTAATTAAGTTTTAAATAGCCAAAGTACTGAAGTACTAAGAATTAGCCATGCTATTATTTGTAGCTTTGAAGATATTTTATGTAATTTGTCTTTCCTTAGGTAAAATACGCTAGGAGTTAAATGCATTGAAATGTTGCAATCAATACAGAATGGTAATTTTATATAAAATTGTTATTTCAAATTATATTTGAAAACAAATCTAAGAAAATATTTATTCTAGGTCTACCTTAATAACAGTAATGATTTTGATTTGTACTTAGTAGCCTTAAATAAGTGGCAATTCATTACTAAATATTTTTGTATTTTTAACATTCTCATTATCAATCACAAGGATACAATATTCTTCCTAGTGGCTTTAAGCAATCTTAAATAGAGTTAACTCTGGTAAGGTTGTTTTCATGCTTTCTAGTAGTTTGCAACATTTTTGAGGAGCTGCTTAGAAGTACAGAGTTACCAAGATTCACTTTAGCTTTCTGGATACAGATCTTGATGCATAGTACCTAGGTTATTAATACTAAAATAGAAAACTCCACTGCTTTCAGATGTTCAACATCAGAGAAACAATTGGTCTAGACAGTCCTCTAAATTTGAGAGACAGACCTAATAATTTTACATTATCTACAAGCCAGGAAATTGGTGACTGTATACATATATTATAAGATGTGTCAAATAATTATTATAATATATTTACATATGCTGAATAACAACAAAGAAATACATAATATGATCTGACAGCATATAGTTTACTCTTAGGTGAATGAGTCCATGCATATCCAAGGTATTTTAAAAGCTGGCCAAATGTCTGAGCAATATTCATAAATCTTCATGTACTGGTGCTTGATTTTTGTATCCAGCTTTAACTTTGGCCCTCTTTGATTACATTTACCTTTCAGTGCTACTAACCTGCCTCAAGATCCCTGAACATGGTGTTCACTTTCTCATTTTTTTTATTGTGAAAATACTGTACAGAGGGGTTACAATTACATGGGCAAGATAATGAGTACATTTCTTATCAAGCATTGTAGCCTCCTCCTTTGTTTCCCCTTCCCATCCCATCCTCCCACCCCCTTCTCCACCCAATCCTCCCCCCCCCATCCTACCAAAGTTGTAAAGTTCGTTTTCGACATAACGACTTGTACATCTCATTGTTGCAGTGGGTCCACCTGTATCCCTATTTAAACGATTATTTATTTGCTTCTTTGTATGTCCCTCCCCCAAGATATAACCCCTGCGTTCACTGTATTTGATGTTGTTATAATTTGTGGAGGGGAAGGGAAAAAACAAAACACTTTCTCATTTCTTATAAAGAGAATTTCCTGCTTCTTAATCGCTTTCTCTCCCATTTCTGTTTAAGTACTTTGCCTTTCTCTTCTGATCCTTTATAATTATTTCTTCTGTGGTGTAGCATCCTTGAGTAGTTTTCAGTAAATTTAAATTTTCCCTAGAAACTCCTATTCTGTATGTGTGCATGTGTGTGCGCATACGCACATGCTGCTTCTGGGTCTTGAATTCAGACATTCAGTGCTCTCCCTGAGCTTTTGTGCTCAAAATAGCACTCTGCCAATTAAGCCATAGGTTTAGTTTGGTCTTTTTGGTGGTTACTTGGAGGTAAGAGTTTCATGCCTAAGCTGACTTCCAGCCACCAGGTCCTCAGATCTTTTCCCCAAGTAGCTAGAATTACAGTCATGAGCCACCAGAGGGTGAAACTCTTGTTCTTGCAACTCATAAGTAACACAGCAGTTTGTAGCCAAAGCAGTGATACAATGAGAAAACATTTTAACAGGTTACTGTTCACAGTCCCTGGAGAGACACATATGTGCACATGAATACACACACACACACACACACACACACACACACACACTTGCTTTCTCTATAACATATTCTCTCTCGTAAAGTTCTCTTATAAACATGGTTATATTTATAACCATCTGAAATTACCTTAATTTTTTGACCCTCAAATTGTACACCAAAAGAGATCAGCAAATCTTTCTCTCTCATTTGCTGTTTTAAGAACAGGATGAATCAGACAGTAACACTTATTCCAAGAATGGATTATTAGTACCCACATTCCATGATTTAATATAAATTCAAAAGGACTCAGTACTGTTCCTGTTTGGGATTAGATAGAAAAAGACACTTGATTCCTGGGGTACTGGGAGTTTTTCTGAATATTCCTACCATGTGGACATAATCATTTCTATGTATAATGAGAATGGTAGGAAATACTTTCAAATTACAATCATAAGCTCTACTCATAGGTTGGTATGGCATAGTTTTCCCACTAAAGAAATTATCTTACACACTTATTTTGAGGACAAGACTATAACTAATGTGAACCTGTACTTCTCAAACTTTCTGTATAAGTAGCATGATAGATACTTATTAAGTACTCAATGAAGGATAAAAGATATGAAGACAACTAGAAAATGAATGATTGGAATAAGTAGGAAGTGGCAAATAGATTCCTCTCTATTCCTTATCATTTGGACCAAGACAGCTACATTTTTCTTCATGAGTCACTCTTTTATAGGCGGCAAAATTATAGCTTACACAGATAAAGGGTTGACAATTATTTCTATGTTTTTATTTAATTAGACGTGATTGTCATCTCCATAATGATATAATTGGAAATAAAAGTAAGTTTTTGCAGAGAATCAGCCAGCAGGGACCAGGGATGTTTAACTAAGAAAGCAATAGTAATTATATGTTGGAATTGTATCTCAAAAATGTTTGCCTTAGGAGGATCAAAAGCTTTTTTCTGGAATTTGAAGGTTACAAAGTTAATTTCCCTTAGGGATCTCATTCTGAGACTGATCTCATGTTTCATTTAAACATGTTTTTAATGTACTTTCATGATTTATGCAGATTATCGTGATAGATGGTTGTTTTATCAATATGCATACAAATTTTAAAAGTTATTTAAAGGCCAAGAAATTAAGCATTTTTAATCAACACATCTATTATTATTCCTGGTATGTGGCAAGAAGTGGTATATCATCATATAAAAGCAAAGAAATAAAACAAAATAGGTTTCTTATTGGGAGAAAACATTTATAGCTAAATGACTCATTGAGAACTGGGATGTGCAACATCCATTTAAAGCCATGGCGTTGTTCCTTCTATACCTCCCCTTCCTTGACTCAAAGGACCCTTCAGAATATCAAGGGTTCAAGTTTTCTTTAGTAATATGTTGTCAAAATGGTATCTACGATCTATGGTATCTTGACACTTGACACCTATCCTAATAATCCTGAGAGAAGATTTCCTTGTCATTTAAACAAATGTCAGAAATTATTTCCTTAATGATATTTACATTCATCGTTTCTCTGTTTGTTTTGAAATTGAATATTGCAACGACTCCAGATTTTGAACTTAGACCCCAATGTACACAAGACAAGGGTACCAGGGAAACATTTGGTGCCAGTTTGACTGAAGCTGTACAATAGAGGTCATTTTGAGTTATGCATACACTTCATGACAACCAATTCTGAAGTCAAACAGAGCACTTTCCTAGAATGAGCCCTTTCTGAACTGGCTAAAGTTTCATTAACTGAGGGGATTTAACTCATCCCCTACTTAGGTGTTCCTTATACTACACAAGTCATTATGCTCAACATTCGTGGTTATAGATTATTAAAAGAATTTACAGATTCTGTAAATTTTTGGAAATGGGGTAAAAGAACGATTAATTTTGACTTGACAGGACAGGAAAGGATTTGTTGGGATAGATATTTGGACTGAGTGTGAAATGAAAAATAGGATATGTATCTGAGAAAAACATCACAGATCATATGTCTGTAAAATCAGCCATAATTGGTGTTACTTTCAATATCCATTTGTTTTCTTTCATCAACTTGACAATGATATTTTTGTGTCTTTACTTTTTGGGATAGTTGAACTGTTGGATCTTGACATTGACACTTTTGTTTATCAAATTATAAGGTCTTCTGATAGTCTTTTTCCAATGAAATATATATCTTTGACCTATCTAGGACAGTTTTAAAAGTCATAATCAAGTAGATCACACACGGCACCTTAAACATTTGATGACCTTTCTTGCCTGTCATCACCAAGAAATCTGTTCAGTTATCTTAAAAAAAAGAAGAGAAAAGAAAAGAAAAGGAAATGAAAAGAAAGAAAAGAAAGCCTTCATACCTTTGATGGATACTTTAGTAGTTCTCCATCTTGTGAGACGCCTCTCAGTGCTCTGTGACTGTCCCCTGCTGTCTAAATTCTATTTGGAGTTGAGCCTAATGTCTCTTCCCTATCATGTCTATGTTGACACTTAACACCTATCCTAATAATCCTGAGCAAAGATTTCCTTATCATTTAAACAAATGTCAGAAATTCTTTCCTTAATGATATTTACATTCATCGTGATGACTCAAGATTTTGAACTTAGACCCCAAAGGGTATTTCTTTTATTATGTATCTAGTCTTCATTTGTCTTCTTTCAGTAGCAAACCCATGATGTCCCTATTTTTGTATTAGTTCTTACTTTTGATC